TTGATTAATACGGAGCTCGATTTCAATGTGATGGCAGAAGGATAAAATAACCGCTTTGACATATTTAATGCACTATATGTACGAGTAGTTTTTGAGAAACTATGGTGATGGGGGCTCATTGATAACAGAGTGAAATGAGGCAGACATTGCTACTATACGTGATATCCCATGTAAATCTAAGATCTAAAAGTGCCTCATTCTCAGCACCTAATTATTTGAACAGCAAATTAGATTTTAGTGGGTTATGAGTTTCATCGAGAGGAATAAAATAGCACAGTTTGAAGTGATTCTGACGTGGGACAAAAACGGCCTTATTGACACTCATCCTTTATAACGTGTATAATTGATGATACGTAAAAGTATTATGATCAGTGCCATAGGACTGATTATAGTCATTTTACGCGATATCGGTTGGATGTATTTCATAATTTATTCAGTAATAACGCAAGAGAATATTTATTTCACATTTACTTTAAGTTAAACCATGAGCGTGTAATTAACCCTCAAATTCCACACTGATGCCAATTCGCACCAGTAAAAATTTCACTTTGCTGCCATCTGTCAGTGAGTTGATATATCGTTTTGTCTCTACTACGACAAACTTGTTTGGTCTCTATTGTGTATGACGCAACCGTTCCCAGCTCTGTCCCGGAGTCATTCCTGCCGAAACACGCAAAGTAGCGTCTGTGAAAAGTTGGTGCGAATTCGTACTTGTGTGGAAATAGCGAGTGCAGAATCGATGTCAGTGAAATTTTATATTTATTTCTTCAAAAAAAATTTTTGCTCAATTTCAATAAAAAATAAGTGTTTTTATATATACACTAGTTTTTATTACAAATTCAATTTCATGAGAAATATATAAATGTTATTACTTTTTATGCACAACACATTTTTCCCTATTGTTTCTCAAGAATATAATTGTATTTTCATATATTTCTCGTATTTATGTGTAGAATGTACAACAATTAAACAATATTTTCCTATATATGTCTCGTATTTTCATTTATTTTCTTTCTAAAAAATTTCCAACTTCAAGCTGATATATAAAAACTATTCCCTTTTATTTAATTCAATTTTTAGTAACTTTCTTTTCTTCAAGTACATTTCTTTAACTTGAACAATCTATATAAGCAGTTGGATTTTATTAAATTAGAAAAAAATACGGTTAGAAAATAAATAAAAGTCATTTTTCAAAAATCTTTGTTACGAAAACCTTAATTTTTATTATTAAAATAAATTTGTCGTGCAATTTGAATTTTACTCAATTCCCTGCAAGGTTTGCTATATAAAACATATATAACAACTTAATATTTTTTTATCCTTCATAAAAATGTTGAGGACTGAAAACGTAAAAGCCAAATTCGCACCATGTGTATGTTACATGATTCGCAGTGTGGAAGTAATGGTTGCGCGGTTAGAGTGTGGAATTTGAGGATTAACACAGGGTATTGTATATAGTATGAATCTCACAACATTTCTTTCCGATTATGTTATATTATGCATGCAATATAAATCTAACAATGTTTCTTACATAATACGTTATTTAGACTGGCAGTATTTAGAATTTATATTCACTAACAGATTTATAATATTATATTTAATAAAGAAGTACGCTTACTCTTGTTTTCATTTCATTTTAATATCAATCTTTTCGCAGCACATATATGGGTCCAACATCGAAAAATGCTAGCGTCAAGTTTTAATACAAATATATTACGAGCATTCTGCGATATATTTGTGAAACATACTTCAGTATTTATGGAGAAAATAGAATACATGGTAGATACCGAAGTAGATTTATCTCATCATGTAACAAAATATACGATGAACATGACTTACGGTAAGATGAAATGCTTATTCGATTTTGATTTGTTTGGAAATTACCTATTTGTGTTATAAACTCTTAATTAAAAATGTATAAACTGTCAATCAAAATAATAAACAATATCTTTCAATATATTTTAATTATTTAATATATTAAAAATGACTTTACTTTGTCGTAATTTTAAAGAAACATTGCTTAATATTAACGAGGGATCGCAATTAAAGAAAAATGAGTTGTATGTCAATGCAGTAAAAAGGTATGATTCCATTTACACCAAAAATTCTTGTAATTATTGTACACTATATTCATGGATAGATCTAATTTAATGCAATGCTTAATTGTAGGTTGAAAGAAATATTCATATACAGACTACGAAATATATTTTTATATCCCGATATTATATTCAATTTAACATCTCTAAGCCGCGAACAGCAGAAGCATGTAAATTTTCTATGTTCTGTTGCGGAAGAGGTAGATATTGCATATATATTTTCTGATGATGTCACATGATTTGCATGTTACATGATCCATTACTATGCAGGTAATACAACAAAAGGAGAACGCCAGAGATAATTTAGTTGAGAATAAAAACCAATCCGCTATGTTTTGTAAGTTGTCAACATTTGTTTTATGTTTTTATGTGATGTATTCATACAGTTAATATCATAATGTGCGAAAATTGAACAAAAAAATACTATACGTTATATTTTAAAATAATTGGGCATATAAAGGGATATTTCCCCTCTTTTTCTATTTGCAACATGTTATTTAGACAGACATAACTGCATTCATTGGCTGTACATATAGATATGTAGCAAATTTTTATTATTAAGAAGATAGATAAATAAATAAATACACATGCAATATATGCATTTCTCGTGATTAATTGACAAAATATATTTTTTAGTAATGTATTTTGTTTATTTTTGTTGGAATAAAAAATAGCAAGAAAGGCATTTCTGGATATACTAATGGAAGCATCTGACGAAGATAAAAAATTCACTCGGAAGGAGATTATCGATGAAATCAATACGATGTCTTTTGGCGTACGTACTATGAACATCTATTGAAACGTATATACCGACAAAAACATGTATATACGTAGAAACCACATCGCTATCACGTGGATCATCGACGTCGACATCAACGTGGAACATCGAGTGGATCATCCGCTCAAACATGGCACTAAAATCCACGTGGAAAAGAAAACAGATATCCACGTCGAATCGTAATTTATATGAATCACGTGGATAGTCATTTTCCCAGTAAAAGCTAGATATTCCTGGAATATTTATAAAATGTTCCATAAAATTTACGTTGAAGATGAAATACCTCGATTTATCGAGGATAAATAAACGTTGCATCTATATCGATATTTCATGGATATGTCCATCCACGTATTCCACGTAAATTACATGGATTCGACGTGGATACAACGTCCCTGTTTTTGTCGGGTATATAGTTTTGTTTCCGTAATGTATTCATAAAATCATAGAACTGATAAAGCAAATTTTCATTTACACGCAGGCAACTGACACAACTGCAATCACATTAAATTTTATGATGTTCATGTTAGCAAATTTTCCAGAAGTACAAGTATGTATTTTACACACATTGGTATGTATACCAATTTATTTTGAGCATAATTTGGTTTTCTTGTGATATAGAAACATCAATTTACTAGAAAAGTTATAATTTACTACAAAAATATATTTATTGCGTACTTTTAATAGCTTCTTAGCCTAGATTTTGTGTTTTTATATTTTTATAGTATTGTAAGTTATTTGGGGCGATTATATATTTGCTTTAATATTTTGTGTATGGAATAAATAAATACCTAATTTTGCAATAGCAAAAGGTATATGAAGAGCTACTGAAAATTTATGGTACACAAGACCCAAAATTTGCGTCCGTCAAGTTCGAAGACTTGCAACATATGAACTATATGGAACGTGTTATTAAAGAAACATTGAGACTCTTCTCCATTGTACCTGTCGTAGGACGCCAACTTGATACAGATTTACAAATAGGTATGTTTATAAACATAATTGTGTAGAGGAGAGCAACAAATTGTGTAGTGTAATAATGCTTTGTTTATCAAGGATATTTTATTTATAGTGAACAATAAAATATGATTTCATTTAAATTAACTTTAGTTGATGTTTTGTAATAATGATATTTATTTACATATATTTGTATATATGTTTCAGGAGATTATATTTTACCAAAAGGAGCTGAAATTGCTATATTAATATTAGCTGTGCATCGCAATGAAAAATATTGGCCGAAAGCATTAACATTTGATCCAGACAGATTTCTTCCGGGAAACATGGCAAATATTTATCCATATAGTTATATGCCGTTTAGTAATGGTCCAAGGAACTGCATTGGTAAATATATATGAGCTAAATTGTATTGTGGCGAAATATGAAATTAATCTGTAAAATTGCAGGTATGAGATATGCAATGACTTCTATGAAAGTCTTTATAGCAACTCTGTTGCGGACATACATATTAAAAGTGGACAAGAAGGTTAAAATAGAAGAAATAGAATTGAAGATGGATATGATGTTATCGCCCATGAATCCTCTAAAAGTCAGAATTGAGAAAAGGAAGTGACGGCATAGCAAAGTATAAATATACTAACGGACAAAATGGAATTTTTTATTAACATAATTAATTGATAACATTTATTGTTAGGATTTTCGAGGGCATTAATTTAAAGTTGTTACAAAACTCAGTCTGAGAAATCAAATATTGCGTTGAAATTATTAAATTTGTAATATACCCAGATTGACAGAGCATCCTGAACATAGCATACAGATCATTATTTAATGATCATTTAATGATTATACATTTGTATAAATATTCACTTTAACCCTCCGGCAATAACTTTCTTATTCACATTATTATACAATTCACCCCTCTGAGTAACATATGAGAAGTTTTAGGCGTTGCTCGTTATTTGTTAAAAAGTTATTTACAAACAAAGTTTTAAAAATGAAACTTCCCAGCAAACACAGATATATATAGTTACATTGCCGTAATGAAATATGCAATATAATATGTATGTAGTAAGTTATATAGACGTATAATATGTATGTAGTAAGTTATATAGACGTTCGTTCCTATAGACGTAATTTCCTAATCACACGTGTTACAGTTATATAACGTGAATATAACATAAAAATAACATG